GGCTGGTGGGATTTACAATTGTAGTTTTTTCTCACATGGTTTCGGGGGTGACACGTGTGGCTCGCTGGTTCTGCGGGGAAGCTGAATGGCCTCATGTTGGCGCTCTGAACCACTAAGTTACAACTGGTTTTTATGATTCCGGGGGATGACACGTGTCGCCCGTTGTGTTTGTGAGGTTGAATGGTTTTATGTTGGATTCGGAACGCCAGCGGTCGCGGGGCCGTCCCCGGCGGGCCGGTTTACCCCTCGCTTTTTGTTTTCTAATTGCGCACTACAGCGTTGAGAATGTTAATGTTTTAATTGTCCCCCCACGTTGATTGTTAAAACCCGTTTGCAGACAGTACCGAAAAACAACAGATTGCACTCGCCCCTTGCAGCACATTTTACGAAGTCCACTCACGCGCGTCGTCACGCGCGCATGCCCGTCGCGCTCGCATGCTGGAGCGTTGCCAAACACTTTTTAGTTTCGTAGGGATTTGAAGATCGAGCTTCCCGAAAACATGTTAGCTCCAACAAGTCTGCGCGTGCTCTTGCGAACTCTTGCGAGAATAAGAATATGTTTAACAACTGTCACCACATGCGACCAATCGGGCCCTTCGTGCGCGCATGTCCGAAATCATTCGATTGCCTGTGCGCGGTTGCTGGGGTTGCACGGATCCGATCAAACAGTACCATGCGGGCCACTCGCGCCTGTCGGCCGCGCGCGCATGCCGAAATCTTTCCTACATCTTCATCACCGACACGTGGACCATCATCGTCATTGGCGCCGTCATTGGCAATGCCGTCGTCATCGCCATCATCGTCACCAGCCGTGCCTGCTGTTGTCGACGTCGCCACGATACCACGCCCAGCCCGAGCCACCGATTCGCACTGACGCGCCCGCGTGCCAACGCGGCCTGCGAGACGCGTTGGGAAGTCCCCAGCGGTCAGCGCTACCACGTCCGCGCCGGTCGCGCCAGACCAGTTTGCCGCTCTGCGCGCGAGCCTGCGCGCGGTAGCGCGACCGTTCTGACGCACAAGCTAGCGCCAAGCAGTCATCGCAATCGCCGCCGCACGGGTTTTGCAAGCCAAGTTTCGGCGGCGAGCGAGGGGGGGAAGTGAGAAGGAGAAGACCTTCTCAGAAGGTGGCGGGACTTCTCAGAAGCCCTCGCGCCTTCTGAGAAGTTTTTTCTTTCTTCGGGGAAGGCTTAGAAAATCCGTAAGGGCTTCGCCCCCTGCCGCCGGCCCCCTCTCTCGGAGAATGGGCCATGGAAGAGCTAAGTCATGAGGCTTTGGCGCTGTCGTGCAGCAGTATCGGAACTTCATGCGAGGCCGATTCGCAATCGGCAAAACCAACTGATCACAAGAGGGGTTACCACACAGGGCGATTGGTAAGACGTGTATGGTTTACGAGCTTGGTTACCACACCTTGGGATTAAAGGGCCGAGGGAGTACTCGCAGTTTGGGTTACCACGCCTTGCGATGGATGTGCGTGAGGGGTGGCATCGAATTTCAGAAATGTGGCAAATCCCCTGTGTTTTTGGACCCTGACCCCGCGGATCTGCGTGAGGGGTGGCACCGAATTTCAGAAATGTGGCAAATCCCTGTGTTTTTGGACCCTGACCCCGCGGATCTGCGTGAGGGGTGGCACCGAATTTCAGAAATGTGGCAAATCCCCTGTGTTTTTGGACCCTGACCCCGCGGATCTGCGTGAGGGGTGGCACCGAATTTCAGAAATGTGGCAAATCCCTTGTGTTTTTGGACCCTGACCCCGCGGATCTGCGTGAGGGGTGGCACCGAATTTCAGAAATGTGGCAAATCCCATGTGTTTTTGGACCCTGACCCCGCGGATCTGCGTGAGGGGTGGCACCGAATTTCAGAAATGTGGCAAATCCCCTGTGTTTTTGGACCCTGACCCCGCGGATCTGCGTGAGGGGTGGCACCGAATTTCAGAAATGTGGCAAATCCCCTGTGTTTTTGGACCCTGACCCCGCGGATCTGCGTGAGGGGTGGCACCGAATTTCAGAAATGTGGCAAATCCCTTGTGTTGTTGGACCCTGACCCCGCGGATCTGCGTGAGGGGTGTCGATTTCCAGCCCCCCCAGCAATTCAGACAACGCGCCCAGGGGGTGCTAAAAAATCCTGTTTGAGCCTCCCCCCCCTTCGCGCGGTCAATCAACTAGTTACAGTAACCAGCAATCAGTCAACAAGTTACAGTAACCAGCAAGAAGCAGAACTGTAACACTGGAAACTACAAACTACAACTGGTACAGGAAACTGCGAATCACGGTCCTACAGCCTGGTGGCCCCACAAGGGGGCCGGCGGACTTCTCAGAAGTCCGGGGGACTCCCGAGCCTTTTGAGAAGGCACGCCCCTTCTCACTTCCCCCCGTGGCTCGCCGCCTAAAGTTGCGGGTGGGTGGGTGGGATGAGTGCGCGAGCAGTGGAGCTGACAATTCTGTGCGAACAAGAATGATTCGCGCCACGCAGCTTGCGCCTCGTAGGTTGCACCACGTAGATTGCACAACGTGCCCATGTAATTGGATATGACGTGGGTTGCACAACATATATTGCACGGAATATATTGTACACGCATTGTTGCACCACGTAGGTTTCATAATTGAGATTGCACCACATATATTGCACAACGGATATTGCACCATATAGATTGCAACACACAGATTGCACAACATATATTGCACAACGGAGATCACAACGTATTTCGAACAACGCAAATTGCACCACATACGTTGCATCACACAGGTTGGTCCACATATATTGCACCACGTTAGTTGTTCTGTACAAGTTGCTTGAAATATACGGCTTGAGGCCGACGTTAGCGAACATTGTTTGTGCGATGGGATCTTGAGTTCAGGCAGCGCGGTGGTGCGGGAAGATCAGCTTCGGTTCACAGGCTAGGGTTTCAAGGATGCCATCGTCGACCCAGTGATCATGTATGTTGCCCATGGCCACAGAAGTCTTGCAACATGCAGTGTGTTTGGCGGGGGTGTACTTCTACACTGAATTTGTCATCTGAGCTTGATCACCGCGGCCGTTTTTCTCAAGCATTCACGTTTTGCCCACTTGCGGGTTGCATCTAGGGTGGGTTCTACACAGGATTGGAAGGGGAATGGGTTGGTTCATTGCAGCATCGTGGGTTCGTGTTTCTGTGCGACGCTGGGGAGTTCGTGATGAGATGTCGCATGCGATCTGCCATACGGATCAGCATGTCATGCATTAGTTATGTGATCGTTTGTGGACTGTAGACGGCTACTTGCGGCAAACCCCGCCGCTACGCCAGCACAGCAACGCAGCAGGAACGACTTCGTGTTCGCGACCCGTTCCAGTGCAGCGCCCTTTCCGATACGCGCCCCCATAATGATCCGCCGCCTCGGTCTCGCCCGTCGCTTCCACTTTGGATGCTTATTTGGGCCCCGGGGTCGGACCATTCTCTGCCAACGGGGGTTCGTCTGGACGACTCATGGGGCCGTCGTGGGACGGTGCTGAGCCGTTTGGGGCAGCTTTCGGGATAGCTTCGGCCTGTCTTAGGGCTCTGTTGTGCAGTTCTGTTGGGCTAGTCGATGTTCTCTGAATCGTTCCCGAAGCGACCTTAAGCCAAACAGCCTCGGGACGTAGACACATCTGTCTTCCACTGGCTTTTCGATGCATGCTCCTCTTGCGCAGGTCCTCCCTGGCGGCGTGTTCGGGCGCCGAGGGTCGCCCTTCAGCAGTTTCGACACGGGCTTCGGGCGTCTGGTTGTCCAGAGGCGGAGGCCCCCCGGGGGGAGCAGAGCACGGGGGGGGTCGTTGTCCGAGCCCCTGTGCAGTGCGGGGTGTCGGCCCTGGAAGGCTCCTGGGCACATGAGAAGCCCTTGTGACACTGTGCATATTCTGGGCCGACGTTGAGCAGGGTCGGTGGATCGCGCCGCATCGCCGATGCATCGGCGATGCGGCGCGATTTCGAGCTCGATCGCATCCGTGCCGACGTCGCCGATGCATCGCGTACATCGGCGATGCATCGGCGACGTTGCACGATTTTCCGACCCTACTTACTCGGACCCAACCTGGGTGGCCTCCAACCATCGCGCAAGCGCAGTGGTGGATATCATATTCTTGAGGTCGCCGTCGAGACGGTGCCGAAATTCGTAAGGGCGCGGCGCTCAGGGAAATGAGGCGTCCAATTTCAGAATTGCATACACCAGGGCCTGGGTCTATCGAGAGACAGGCCTGTCATGAGGAGACCGTTCCGCGCACAAGCATGGATGGACGACGCTGACCGTGTTCAAGTTCTGGTTTGTATCGACCGTACACTGTGCCTCGGCTCCGTCACGATACATGTCACGGCATGCCAGAGAATCTGCAATGCCAGCGGCATCGAATGTGGTTGAAGAGGGCAGGGCTTGTGCGAGCCAGCAGCGTTGATCTCCCCTGTCGCCCGCATGGCTTTGTCTGGACGAGCACCAAGGCTCGGCGCATGCGTTTTGGCTTAGTTTACCTTTTTGCATGAGAGTATCGCGTGAGACCGCGTATGTATGCTTGTGGCAGGCAAAGTGGTGGCATGGCGTCTAAGCTCAGCAAACCGTCATCAGTTCTAAGCAGCACGTTTCCACGCTACGCAGTGTTTCATTGCCAGGAGTTGACGGGCGATTGAGATTGTAGACAACGCTGCGCGCGTGTAGAGAGGGTTCGGCATAGACAATCGGTCGTTCGCTTCTCAAAGGTGATGCTGCGCATTGATTCCGTGGTCAAAGAGTTTGATATACCATCTTCCATTGTGTATTCGCGCATGGCTGGCCGTCATACCTTGGGCTCTCGCAGCTCGGCTGCGGATCCGCGTTCGAGATCGTCTCGGACAGCGCAAGAGGAGGAGAAGGAGGAGGAGGAGAAGGAGCAGGAGGAGGAGGAGGCGGATATGGCATTTGCGTGTGCGACAGAGAATTGCGCCAGTGTGTGGCCGATCAGGGTGTGCCCTCTCAGCGCTCCGTGCCCCCTCTCTCTGATGGAGTAGGCCTGCCGCCGGCATGACCGTGCCGCCCGGGGCAGCCGCAAGGCAGGCTGGCGCAGCAGCAGGCGCCTTGCTCGTCTCATTGCCCCTGCCCTTCAGGAAGCTCTGGGCACAACACAGAATCACATGGAACAACTACGTGGATTTCTCGGGAGGGCCCCTCGGGGAAGAACCCACCGACCTCGACAGGAGCACTTATGTTGTGATTGTGGTTGCTTTGGCCGTCTTTGGACGCTACATCGGCCACAGCCAGCACTACGCTGGCATCGGTGTTCTGACGACCGATGGCATGCGCAGGACGTTCCTGAGGGCGCGTCCTCGATGTGGCCGTGAGTCGAAGAAGATGAAACGCCATGAGCATGAACTGTTGGCGCTCCGCGCAAATTTCCTGGATCTGCGCTGGGCCCCCCTTGGCGGCGCCTCTGGCGCCGCCCCAGGCGCGCTCCGCACACCAGGGAGGGGGGCCCAGCGCGGATCCACGAAACTCGCGCGGAGCGCCAAGAGTTTATGTTTATGCCTTTATTTCTTCCTCTTTCAGACATTCGGCGGCGAGCGAGGGGGGAAGTGAGAAGGATAGGCCTTCTCGGAAGGTTCGGAAATTCCTCAGCCTTCTGAGAAGTTTTCCAAGCCTTCCCTGAAGACGGAAAATGCTTCTCAGAAGGCGCGAAGGCTTCTGAGAAGTCCCGCCGCCTTTTGAGAAGGCCTTCTCCTTTTGATTTCCCCCCCCCGCTCGCCGTCAAGACATTCCCGAGGGCATGCCATTGATGTTGGTCGTGGTGTGGGGCCGAACGAAAGGGGGGGATAGGGAAAGGGGGGGTTACGACATCTGCTGCATGCAGCTGGTTTCTGCCCCGCCGCCGGGCCCATTCCTCGATACATGGGCGCCTCCCGGCGCTGGGAGGCGCTGGGGACATCAGCTGCGTGAGCTGATTCTTTGCCCTGCCCTTTGCCATCCCCCCCTCTCGTTCCCCCCGGCAGTGGGCGCTCGCCGTTCCCGCAGGGAGCGCCGAGGCGACCTGCGGCCAGGGCGGCGTTGAGGTGAAGACCGCGCTCGGTTCGGGAGGGGGCTCCGGCACCCGGGCTGTTCTCTTGGAGCGTGGTTGGAGTCGGGCACGTCTCTCTTTCTCGACAGGAGGAAGATTCAAACACAGGCAGAAAATGGTCTGGGGAGGATGTTTTTTGACGATTTGACTATGCTTGAACATTTGTTCGACTGTTTTCAGCTTTCCTTCCAAAGTCCGCCTGTAGGAGGACACGCCCGACCTAAATACTAAAGCTCGATCGTGGAGCCCGATCGTGGCGTCCCTGGCGCGCTCCGAGCGTTGGGGGGGGGGAGGGGGGGGGGGGGGCAGCGCAGACCGAAGGCATCGGCCTGACGCGCCCTCGGACCTTCCAGAGTGCCAAAACAAAAGGGCTCCAGGCTTACAGACCTACCCGGACTGCCAGAAACCTCGACGGGAATTGAGACGCCAGGGTCCTAATAGTGCTATTTTTCTCCTGGCACTCCTGGAGGGTCAGGGCCTTCTTCCCCGATGCGCCGGCGCTGGGAGGCGCCGGGCGAAGCAGGTACATGATCTGATTCCCTCTGGACGCCCGAAATGGGTACGGAAAGAATGGGTACGATGCCCAACAGCAGTTCCTGTTCATTTTGAACAGGACTCGCTGTCCGCGCCGCCGCGGCCTGTGTCCATTTGAGACAGAAGGCCGCCCGTCCAACAGCGGCCGCTGTTGGTTTGGGACAACATGTGTTGTTGGGTATTGTAACCATTTTTTCCGTACCCATTTCGGGCGTCCAAATTCCCTAGCTCTCCCTTTGCTATTCCCCCGTTTCGTCCGGTCCGATTCCCCCGCGCCCCCGTCGGCCGACGAGATCTCGACATCTCCACCGCCGCTGGCGCCAGGCCCATCGTGGGCTTGGCCAGCAGCGGCGGAGACGCATCGAGACACCCGAAGGGATGTCTGCTTCGATGTGCGGCGCAAGAGTTCCCCACCCATTTCCCAGGGTCGGTGTCTCGCCCCGGAGCAATTGTGCGATGACGCCTGGGCAAAGGAGCAGATTCCAGCGGGCGAGAAGAACGGAAAAAAGCGTAGGGATGGAGGATGCCTACGAGCACGAGATTCACGCGTTAGCCAGCGTGGTCCCCGAACAGGTTGTGTAGCAATCTGGGTCATGTCATCTGTGTGGTGCAATCTATGTGGTGCAATTCTCTTTGACTGTCTTAAGCTGTCCTCTCCACTGCTCGTGCAAACATCCCACCCTCCCACCCGCAACTTGGTCGCAAGACTTCTTAAGACCGTGACGGTGGGTACCACATGGCACTTGGCAACGACAGCGACGCCGACGACGACAGCGACAACGACCACGACTACGCCGACGACGACGAGAACGATGACGACGACGTCGACAACGACGATTTCGACGACGACGACAACGACGACGACGACGTCGACGACGACGACGGCCACACCGACGACAACGACGACGCCGACGCCGATGACGTCGACGAGAACGACGCCGACGACGACGGCGACGACGACGCCGACGACGAGGACGACGACGACGACGTCGACGCCGACGACGACGACGCCGACGACGACGACGAAGACGACGACGACGACGTCGCCGACGCCGACGACGACGACGACGACGAGGGTGGAGGGAGGACGGAGACGGCGACAACGACGACAACGACGAGGGAGGAGTGAGGACGGCGACGACGCGAACGACGAAGAAGGAGGGAGGACGCCGACGCCGACGACGACAACGACGAGGGAGGAGGGAAGACGACGACGACGGCGACGACGACGACGACGACGGCGACGAAATAGGAGGAACGACGACGAGACGCCGACGACGGACGACGACGACGACGAGGGAGGAGGAAGGACGACCACGGCGACAACGACGACGGAAACGACGACGACGCCAAAGAGGACGACGACGACGACGAGGAAAGACAGAGGACGACGACGGCGACGACGACGATGACGAGGGAGGAGGGAGGACGGCGACGACGACGACGACGACGATCAAGTGCGCGCGCACACTTTTGTTGAACATCCGTGTTGCGAAACCTTGTGTTTTTTGTATGTTTTTTGGGCACGCGATTTTGAAATCCTTCCGAAACCGAAGGTTTTTGAAGGATTCCGGCATGCGCGCGCGACGACGCGCGCGCGTGCACCTCGTCCATTTGTTTGCAGAGGATTCTCGCGATGGCACGCGCGCAAGGGCGATCGAACGATTTCGACATGCGCAGGCGCGAAGCCCGTTTGGTAGTATGTTTGCAAATTTTGAAAAACTTCCTTGGTGTTCTTAAGATTTCGTAAGAGCGCGCGTGTACGTTTTTTATGTGACATCCTGTATTTGTGTATGTTGCTTTGGAAACTTGATTTTGACATCCTTCCGGAACCGAAGGTATTTGAAGGATTTCGGCATGCGCGCGCGACGACGCGCGCGTGTGCACTTTGTCTTTTTTTTGCGAGGGATTCTGGAAACCGTTTGATGTTCGATAAGCGAGTGTGCGCACATAGTATTCGTTGCAGAGGATGGCGGGGGGGGGGGTCGATACCGACCTGGCTGGGAGATAATGATTTCACAAGTCGGATGGGTGATGGGGCAGACTCGTAAGTAAATTTCAATACGAAAAGGAGAATCTGCGGTGCAATCTACGTGGTGCAATCTGCGTTGTGCATTCTATGTTGTGCAATCTATGTGCTGCAATGTGTATGGTGCGCGATGTAGATTGAGAAGTCGACGTGGTGCAACATGTGTAGTGCAGTCTACGTTGTGCCATTTAGGTGATGCAATATAGGTTGGGCATTGTACGTGGTGCCATATATCGAAGACGCCTGCGGCGAATCACCGCCGCCCCCTGCCTTCTAGAATCGCCCATGTGGCCGAGGGTTGTGGCAAGAGCTCCGCCAAGCTATCGGACCATGTGTTCCCCCAACCGTTGTGGAAACCCTTCGGGGAACACTTGGGGCAGGATGTCGGGGAATCCAGAGGAGGCGGAGCAGGAGGTGGAGGAGGAGGAGGAGGAGGAGCAGGAGGAGGAGCAGGAGGAGGACAAGGAGGGGGCATCTTGGGAGCCTATGGGGACACTCGTGGGGCCTCCTGTGAGCTTCCTGGGAGCCTCTTGGAGGCATCTTGGGGGCCTCCTTGGGCTTCTTGGGTGCCTTTTGGTGGCTTCTCAGAAGCCTCTTTGGCCGTCTTGGTGGGCTCCTGGCCCGTCGGAAGCCGTCTTGGGGTCCTATTTGGGCCAACTTGGGGCCCTCTTTGGGTGGTCCAAGTCCGTCTTGGAGGCCATCTTGGGCGTCTTGGAGGCCTCTTGGGCGCTCTGGGGGCGATCTTGGGGGCCTCTTGGGCCGTCGTGGGCCGTCGGAAGGCCGAAAAAGAGCAAATACGAAAATCCTTCAAACACCTCAGGGACATCAATGGTTTTAGCCTCTTCGGGCCCTCCTGGAGGACCTCTCGGAGGCCTCTTGGGCCATCTTGGATGCCTCTTGGGTACCTCTTGGGTAGTCTTGGGCCATCTTGGAGGGTTCGCTGGCTGACTTGGGGGTATCTTGGACCCTCTTGGGTCAAGTTGGAGGCCATCTTGGAGGCATCTTGGAGGCCATCTTGGCCGTCTTGAGGCCAGCTTAGGCCATCCTGGAGCCGTCTCGAGCAGGAAAAACCTTTGCAACCACCTCTCACGGTCACTTCGGGGTGGCTGGCGGGCTAGGCCGGAGCCCCAGGGGAGAGTTTTTTTTTGGGGGGGAAATGAACCAAAACCAAAACCAAAGCCGGTAGGGTCTAGTACGCCGGGCTCCCTTGTGGCATGCCAATAGGGGGCGGCGGATCGAATTGCCTTCGGCCCATCCCGCCACCTCGCCTGGGTTGTGGGTATGAAGCCTATTAGATGTTCCCTGGGATCTTGTGGGGGGCCTCTCGGGGGCCTCTTGGAGCAGTTTGGACGCATCGTGGGGGCCGCGAGGGGGACTCTTTGGGCCTCTTTTGGGCCTCTTGAGAGCCTCCTGGGGCCTCTTGGGGGCCTCTTGGGGCGTCCTGGGCACGTCTTGGAGC